CCAGCTGCCTCCTTAGAGGCAAAATCTTACATGACTTAAGTCTATGGAATTTTTTTGTCATTAATTTAAATTAGAGCAAAATTGGACCTGCCAAGAATTTCCTTCCTGTTCTTAACCCATTAACATTTGTCCCATTCAGGGATTAGGGCTTCATTATTTCAGGCATTGTAAAACAAAGCAGTGGTCCAGCCCCAAGCACTCTAGAGCACAAACCCAAAGAAGCTAGAAATGCATCCTGGTGAGTTACCTCAACAGTCCCTCGATGCAGTCTGTCTTAATGTCTGCAGTGCCTAATTCTTGCAGTTGCTATCCAAGACAATTAAATTAAGAAAGATAAATCACATTATGGCTCCAGAGAGGCAACAGTTTGAAAAACCATTTTAAAAAGCCATTTAAAACAAATGCATCAAGATAAATGGGTTAATCTTTGCTTCACACTCAAACAACATAGATCCTTTTTTTTTTAACGAAGTATACGGTTTTCATACCTTGATCTCTTTCCAGTGAAACCCTCCTTCCCATACCTGCACTTTTTCATTTTCCCCATCCCCTTTCCTGTTCTAAGTTTGCAGGGTTTTGCCTTTCCTCACAAACTAAATGCCCGATCTCCACTAGAAAAACTAACCATTGCTGACAAGGGAATTCAGCACCAGTTCAGGTTAACCTGGTTTAAATGCAAGTGAAGACTGGGATAAACCACATCCTATGGTTCCCTGTTTTCTGAAAGGTGTTCTATCCAGCTCCACACCTGCTGTCAAAACATGCTAGTGAGATTCTGATGAATGCACTGTTGATACCAGTTGTCAGCAATGGGTAATTTTTTGAGAGTAGATTAAGCCTAAAATGGGTGAAAGACTCTCACTTCGGAGCCAAACCAATGTTGTTCTTGAAATGACTTAGCACATAATCACAGAGCGAATGACTGAAGGCACTTCATCTCTTTTCCAAAGGAATAAATGTACTGCCTCAACAATGTTGCCACACTGTTAGTGGTAGAGCATGAGTCTAAGCAGACACAGGAGAACCTGGGAAGATGCCATGACATGTCCAGATGCAACAGAAGCACAAATTCTTGCAATGCTTTATGTGAATTAAGCAACCCCAAAGTCAAATTTGAGCTGTACAGGAGCATTCTGTGCTCGGACATGCTGAATAGTGGAAGGAAAGTTTTAGAATGGGCTAGGATGGCCTAAGCAGACATAATAACCTAAGACTGGACTGCAAAAACGACAGGCCTATATAACAAAGGACAATGTAGATAATATTAGAAATGAAAAAAAAATAGCAGTAAATGTGTTTGTTTAATTTTTGCATTTCTCCCATTTTAGGAAATGAAATACTTTTCACTTTTGTTTATATTCAAGTTCTCAAACTTTGGATTGCAAATACTGAAGCAGGAAGGTGTTCTTAAAAGCAATAATAAACCTGGATTTTTTTACTGGTTTTTTTCAATTTGTAAAAACCCGGCACTGGGTTTTGGGGGTGGGATTCTCAAGAGGACTCAGCAGTAATCTGATTCTTCTCCATTGAGCTCAATGCCAGGAATGAGTACTTCCAAAACTCAGCTTTACAAAATTTAACTTGTGGAGCAAATTTCAGTTGACAGTGAACCTTCAGTGTTCATGTTTATGATACTCTGAGTTACCAAGCAGCAATGCACCAATTTGATATCCATGAAAGCAGCAGAAGAACCTATATTATTTCAAACTATTATTCTTGTCATCCTGAAATCAGGGGAATTGTCCTTTCCAGTTCAAAGGGATCAGATCATTCATCTGTGCTTGAAGTTTCTTAATCTTGTAGTTTTAAGAAGGAATTCAATTTTAATTTTTGCCTAGAGTCACTTCCAATATCAAATTATATTTAAGTACTAAAATGTACTACTTGGTTTAGAAATATAAACAAATGTGCATGTACATAAATAGGGAAAAAAGACAAAGAAGTATTTGACAAATACACAAAAAGACAAATAAGTATTTCATCCCTTTTACAGGAAAAAATAGAGAGGCCTGGAAACAATTTATGTTTCCTTTCATGAATTTTCCTACAGATTGAAATAGAAGGGAGAGAAGTGTTTTCTATAATTGTTTTAAACAGGGAGAAGAACCTAATGCGATCCCCCTCAGTTAGCATAGTAATTATATTGTATCTTGTCTGAGAGAAACTTCAGTGCTAAAGAGAACATAATAAGGGAGATCTCACGGCCTAAACAAAGTAATTTAAACAAAGCATTGTAAATGGGGTTTAGGGCAACAAACCAGCAAAAAACCTTGCTATGATAGAGATGCACCTATCTCTCTATATAAAATATTTAGACAACCTCCTTAATGTTTTACTACCTTTCACATCTCCACATTAATCCTTTTCATATTGATGGTTCCCAAACACATCCTATACCAAGAAACGGACTTTGTGCAGAGAAAATCCATTTTCTAGCGCCAAAGATATTAATAATTAACATATATACTGTGAAACTGGCAATACCAGTTTGTTAAAATAAAGGCTGAGCATTTTATTATTATTTTAGAATTTAATTTAGTCATCACAGGTTACTCAGGCTCATGTTTATAAATTATACAGGGCAGGGACTTAACTCTGCTGGATCGACCTGTTTTGGAATAATGACTGTACAAATAGGGAGGTTCATAACCTTGTTTGAATATCTGGCCAACCTTGAAAGAAGATGATTTACAAGATTGACAAACCCTCATCATTTCAAGAATCTGTGTCTGAGAACAAGATTTCCCTCTGCAACACAAACAGCAGAGCAACTTGGTAATGCACTGCTAGAAGTGGTAACTTTGGTTTATCTAAGAATCATACTTACAAAAGGTAAGAGAAAACTCTACCAGTAGGGCACAGCTTTCAGGGAAAAAATTAGTTACATGCTGCACAAAAATATGGGTATCTTAAAACTACCTAAGTCATCACTAGCCATACTATAGCACACTCTAGGTTTGCCTTCTGGCACATGCTTTTGGAAAATCCCAGTCCCATTTTAGAAGTACATAACTAGGGTCACCTGAGCATCAAGCATAATTTTAAAGAGCTTTAAAAATTTCACCTGGCGCATAAGCGATTTTGGAGAACAGATCCCGCTGAAATCAGAAGACTTGCATTCCTGTACCACTTTGATCCTTTTGAAAATCTCAGCAAGACTACTTTCCAAGACTACTGCTGCCAATCACCAATATTTTATAAGGCGGTACTTTTTTTGTAATTACTTGACATAAAGGTAGCCAAATTATTTCCTGGCACTTTAAATTAACAGACAAAGCAATTAATGAGAGTTACGCAATCTCATGCCACAGACAGAAGAACGGGTCAGAATGAAGCTGGAACCCCTGGAATTTTACAGCACAGCATTTCTGGTCTCATCTCTGATAAAATGTCTCCAGAAATCAAAGACGTGTCCAGAGCAACTGTTGCCAGCTGTAAAATGACAGAGCAAATAAAAACACTGGGCCATATATATTTGTGCGTGGAATAGCTTTTGCGTGTTACTTCCCAAGTCTGCTCTTTGATTCTTGTGTCAGTTCATTGGGAGGGAACGCAGCAGGAAGAATTTTGAGGACAAAAAGTCAACTCTACTGCCACTTCCATATCCAAAGGTTTTCACTATATCACAGTATTTCCTTGCAATTATGTACAAGTCACTTTTCACTTAGCATCTAGATAATAGCTTTCCTCTGTGAAAGAGAAAAAGCCCCATGCAAAACCAAGGTACGCCAGTAGTGCTATGATGGCATGCTCGATGCACTCGAGGTTGTTGACTGTGCAGCAGCGGTAGGGAAAGGACATCTGCGCGGGCAACAGTGCAGAAACAGGCAGTGTCACAACTGAACACGCAGAAGCCCACGCGGAAGAGCAGGTTATTGACCCCGGTGAGGACAAAGACATGTGTCTTTGATTTCTACCATGCCTGCAATTTTCAGTCTCTGAAGTTAACCTTCCAGACATGAACTGACGCCGAACTGTGGTCCTGAGCCTGCAGGCAGGGCAGTCCAGTGACTCCACGATGCCGCAGAGTGGTGCCAAGCACTGGCCAAGGGAGATCGGTGATGGACCTGTGATCAGTGTCAGCAACAGCAGTGAGGCCCTGGGGGGCGGCAGGGAACTGGCTTCTAGAGCACGAAGAGAAGCAGGAGCCTGCATTATTCATAGGAGAGGAGGCTCCCGGCAAAATAAAGCTGAAGGGGCAACAAGCACCAGGCAACAAGGGGCAGGAGACCCCTCCAGCCAGGACCCAGCTTAAAAGCCGTTGTGAGGTGGCAGTGGTGCGGCGCTGGGACAGGACTGGCCCGGCCTCAAGTGCCTCTGGGGCGGGGGTCGCACTTCCCCGCTGTGGCTCTGAGGGCGGGGCCAAAGCCCTCCGACACCAGCCCCGTGCCGGGGCCTGGGCCGCCGCCTGCTCCGTGGCTCAAGCCTCGGTTCCCGGTTCCCCGCCCGGGGACCGACATGGGGTGGCTGGGGGGGGCTCTGACGTCACTCGCTCCGCACAGGACGCGGGGCCGTTTGCCCAAAAAGGGGGATCCCCTCCCCCCCCCCCGCTCAGGTGCGCGAGTCCCTA